AGTGGGGTGGGGGCGGGGTGGGGGCAGGGTGGGCCCCCCCAGGTGGCTTCCTCATTTGTTTGGGGCACTTCCTTATAAGGCTGTGCAGGCTGAGGGCCATGGAGGGTGAGGTCAGGGCTGAGCTCTCCATTCAGCCCAGCCCGATGCTGTCCCTGTTGTCCCCGTGGCTGCCAGAGTCTCAGAGGAAATCAAAGGCTGAGACTTTGGGCTCCAGCCAAGGAGCTCAGAGTGGGGCCTCTTAAAGGGCCCCGGAGCCTTCATGTCTGCTGTGGGAGCCCAGGTCAGGGCTGGGGAGAGGGTGTCCTTCCAGGGTCCTCTCGGAAAGTAGTGCCGGGTACCCTGGTTTTCCCATCTGTATGACTGGCTCACCCTCTGGAGCTCTGGGCAGCTCTGACACCCTGTGGTCCCACCTTTGTCCCTTCTGCTGCAGGGTCTGCCCCTCTTGCTCTGATCTCCTGAGAGCGGACTCATTCATTGCTTCCAACGGCCCTGGTTCCTCCGCTCCCCTCCGCTCCCCTCCGCTCCCCCTTCCCAGCCCCTCTTTGGGGAACCAGCTGCTGCCACTTGACCCTGTGGTGTCACAGCTGCTGCCAGCAATGCCATCCTTGCTAGGCAGGGAAGGAGGAATGTGATTTAATTTCAGCTGGAATGTGCCCTCCGAGGCTGCCCAGAGAGGGGGGCGGGGGTGTAGACCAAGCCACCCACGCCCAGGAAACCCACGAGGGCTCTGGGCTGGGGACAGGCTCCTGTGTTCGTGTCCCACGGGAGGGGCCCTGCCGCAGGATGGGTCTTCATAGCAGTGGGAAAAGAAAAGGCTTCTGGTGACTGTCCCTGCGTCCACAGGCCCCTCAGAAAGGTAGGAGGAGGGTCTCCTCACCCCTTCGGGGAGGGGACTGGCTCGGGGCAAGAAGAGAGACAGACCAGCCTCGGGCGAGGGCCCACAGACTGCAGTGGAGAGTAGAGGAGCATTCTGAGATCCCACATGATTTCCTTCACCCTGGGGGCCCCATTCCCTCTCCCCTCTTTCTTTCTTTTTTTAAAATATTTTTTTATTGATTTCAGAGAGGAAGGGAGAGGGAGATAGAAACATCAATGATGAGAGAGAATCACTGATTGGCTGCACACCCCACACTGGGGATCAAGCCCGCAACCCGGGCAGGTGCCCTGACCAGGAATCGAACTGTGACCTCCTGGTTCATAGGTCGACCCTCAACCACTGAGCCACACACACTGGCCCCCCTCTCCTCTTTCTAACCCAGCACCCCAACACCAGGTCAAGCTTGCCTCTTTGCCAACATTTCAGGAGCAGTGGACTCTGCCTCCTGCTCCCCACTTCCTCCCCAAGCCCATTATTCCAGGCTCTCCAGTGTGGGTGTCTCTCCTACCACCTCACACCTGTTCTGGGTGCTATAGCACCAATCCCTCTTGCCCCCAAAGGGGTGGACCTCAGGCCCCAGAGTCCCAGTCCTACAGCCCTCTTCCTCTAAGTCTCCTCCTCTCCCAGCTTCAAAGTCCCCTCCCTTCAGCCCCATTCACCCTCCCCACCCCCATGACTCAGCTGTGACTCCAGAAATAAACGGAGGCAGGAGCCAGGGGGCCACTGTCGAGGAACCACCACATCCCAGCAGCTGTGGGCTCAGCTGCTGCTAAGCAGGAGCCACAAGGTCCCCGGAAGGGTGGCTGGGAGACTTCAGCGGTCGGGCGATGCCCAGCTGGCTTGGCCCTCTCCTGGGACCCCATCCTCCCTGCTAAGGAGAACGCTCCTCCCTGGCAGCCTCACTCTCCACTCACTCTCCTTCCCCATCCCCTCGCCTCTGTCTTCCACCTATTTTCCTCCCTCCTCTCTGGTCTCTCCCAACTCCTGAATCACTTGGTGTCTCCTAGATCTCTTCCTTCTCTGCTCATCTCATTTGTCAGGAAGTTGTATGTCAGAGCTTCAACACACCTTGATGGGGAAACTGAGGCACCAAGAGACATCCCTTGTCAATGCTACTAAGAGTCCCTAGATGCCAGTTGGAGTCCATAGAACATGGGCCAAGTGGCTGTGGGTCGCTGCCCTTAGGTGCTCCAGTCCAAAGTGGTCAATAGCCTTCCCTCGTTAACAAGCTGCCTAGAAGGACCCCCAGGAAGTAAACTCAGGGGCCACCGAGCCACCCACCAGGCGACAAGCAGAGTGGAGTCTCTCACAGGGGACTTTCTCACATCCTCTTCCTTCTCCCCCTTTTTTCCTCTGCTCCTTCCCAAGCCCTTCCTCTTGCTCTGCCCCGAATCTTCTAGTTCTTCCTTCCCAGGAGGGAGGAGGTTGCTGGAGCAGGCAAGGTGGCAGTTAGATCTCAGGGAGGACCTCCAGTCGGGGGAATATGAGAGGGATCTGACTGCAGCCCCCATGGAAAACCCTCCCCCCTCAGGGGCCTGACAGGCGGAGCATTCTTTGAAGTCTTTGGGAGCTGCTGTGTCACAGCAGGCAGGCAGGCAGGACAATGGGGCCCTTTTCCTCCCTGCACAGGGGCAGGCCCACCAACGGCCTCAGGGCTGGGACAAAGGCCCCAGTGAGGTCAGGGCAGTGTGTAGGGTGGGGAGGTGGGAAGGAATAAGGTGATGGGGTGTGGGTCAGAGCAGCCTGGGGGGAAGCTGGGGACCTGGCAGTTGAGGGCCTTGGCAGGCCCATGTCACCGGGCTCTCGGGCTCCTCTGCAAGGCCCAAGCCCTGACTTCCACCCAGGCTGGACCTGCCCCTCCATTTATTCCAATACACCCTCTGACCCCGCTCTTGTCCTTCATCCCCCGGGGGCCCTGGGGGGACCTCACTTTAGACATGTATGAAAGGCTGAGGGGTGAACCGCATATCCAGGGGCTTGCAGGTCTGTGCTGTGTCCTGGAGGCAGAGGCTCCCAAAGAGAGGCTGACACTCCATGAGGGGTCAGTTCCCTCTGCCCAGCCCAACACAGGCCCCTTTCTCATTTTCCCTCCCTGGGCCAGGGCTGGATTCTGTGCAGGGTGTTGAGTCACCCCTGGTCCAGCTCTCCCTTCCCCAGGAAGCCCAACAAAGCCAGAAGGCTTCCGTTTTAGGCAGTCATGCCCAGGCAGCCCAGCAAGTGTCCGGAGGGGAGGAGTGTTCTAGTTCCAGCCCCGTGTCCACCTCTGGACCACTCCTCCTCCACAGTCAGAGAAGGTGGCGGACCCCTGCCGACCGCGGGTGCGGAGATTCAGTGACTAAGGGGCTGGGACACCAAAGCCCCTTCCAGCTCCCCACTAGGGTCTCTCTGGGAAATACCACCTGCTTTCTAAACCCCATCTCTGCGAGGTCACAGTTCTCAGAGAACCCCCCTTAAGAACCCCAGGACAGACACTGTCCCCTCTTCAGCCTTCTCTTCTTGAGGGGCTATGTTCAAAGGCCCACCCTGGTCTCGATCCACTCATGATTCCAGCTAAATTCCATGGGGGGAGGGGCTCCCTACTCTGGTCCCCAAATCATCCTCTTCCCTGTAACTCCTTAAGAAACAGCCTTAGTCCCTAGCTGTGCTTGGCTGGGTTGTCTGAGGAGGGCAGAAGCGGGGCGCGGGGGGGTGGGGGTGGGGGCAGGTGAGCCCTGGGTGAGGAGAGGACTGTGGTATCTCAGAGACCAGCTGGTTTGGGGTTTGTATCCAGGTGGAGAAGGTCCAGGAGCTGGGCAGGGATGGCCTGGGAGAGCCCGTTTTCCTGTCTTGCCTCGCTGTCTCTGGGCCTTTCCCCATCACTCTCTGATTCTGTCTCTGTCTCTGTGTCTTACAGGCTTTAGTAACTTGCCCATGTGTGGTTAAATGTGAGGATCTGCAGCAAGAAGATTCACCCCCATCATGGAAACAGATGGCATCCCGACACACACTCTACCATAAGGTACAATTGTGTGTAACACACACACACACACACACACAGAGCTGGTCATTCTCTCTCCAGTTCTCAGAGTGACCTCACTATCTCAACCTCCGCTGACTCACAGCCCCAGGCCAGCTCAGGCTGGCGGAAGTCTGACCCCTCTTCCTCCCCCCTACCCCTCACTCCAGCCAGCTGCCAGACTTCCTCACCCTGGACAATTGGGGGGTGGGGGTGGGGGTGTGTGACACCGCAGCGCCCTCTGGCGGTATCCTAAGGCTCCTCCCGCCTGGCTCCACTCACGCACGTGCACACAGCGCCCTCTGCTGGCTACAGCCTAGGAGGCCTGCAGATCATTCCTCAGAGCCCAGCCCACAGCAGGGCGGGGGATCCCTCCTCCGCCCTGATCACGTGCCCCTATTCCTGCATCTCAGCCTTTTCTGCTGGAAGGACGCCATCCTGCGATCTAAACCCCAGACCTGCACTCCCTTCACCCTCATCCCCCCCGCCCAGTGAACCCCCTCAGGAACCTCAGAACTGGGGCACCGCCCTGCTCTCCTCTCTGGGCCCTCAGCTCCCGCCCAGACTGAACTCATCTAGGTCTGTTTGACTGGGCACTCCAGCTCCTTTCTTTTTTCTTTTCATTGATTTCAGAGAGGATGGAGAGGGAGAGGGACAGAGATAGAAACACCAGTGATGAGAGAGAATCATTGATCGGCTGCCTCCTGCACACCCCCTACTGGGGATGGAGCTGCAACCCCGGTGATGGGGAATCCAGTGTCCCTCCTGCACACCCCCTACTGGGGATGGAGCCTGCAACCCAGGCATGTGCCCTGGTGATGGGGAATCCAGTGTCACCTCCTGGTCCATAGATCGATGCTTAACCACTGAGCCACACTTTCCGGGCTCCAGCTCCTTTCAAACACCCTTATGCTGTCCCCCCACCCCACCCCTGTGGGCTTCTTCATTCCATAAGTACTTACTGGGCAGCTCTTCTGTGCTAGTCACTATTCTATCCCCTGACTTCTCTGACCTTCAGAAACCAATAAACCCAGAAGGCATATTTATCCTGTAAGGCTCAACCCAACCCCACCTCTCCCTCCCTCCCGCTCTCTCTCTCTCTCTCTCTCTCTCAAGCATCAAACTTGCTTGGACTCGAATGCAGCTTTATTTCCTGCTGGTTTTACAGGTATGCCATCCTGAAAACTCATTCCCTTAGAGAACGAGTGGACACAGAGCCCCCCAGGGGAATGGAGGGGACAGGATGGCTGGCGAGGAGGGGGCAGTTGAGGCACTTAGGGACAACTCAAGGCCCTGAGGGAAAACCTGATGCTCAGCGTGGGGGTGAAAGGGCCTAGGCTGGTCTGCAGCTGCCCAGGTATTTCCCAGAAGTCCCTTCAGGCACTGTCACCTGGACTCCAGCTCTACCCCTCTCATGTTGTCACTTCCCATGGTGGGGCATGAGGGCAGTGCTGGGGGCAGCAGTATCCAAGGCTTTGCTTCTTAGGGAGCTGGAACAGGACTGGAAGGAGGGGTCCAGCGCCCCAGTAGCCTCCGCTGACGTCCTTCTAGGGCCTTCTTGGGGTGCAGAGCTCGAGACTGGGGAAGACACACACACGCACATGCACCCTCACCCTGGGCTCTTCCCCCTTCTCTCCTCAGAGCACCCTCTGGTGTTCGCCCCAGTAGCCTCCGCTGACGTCCTTCTAGGGCCTTCCTGGGGTGCAGAGCTCGAGACTGGAGAAGACACACACACACACACACGCACCCTCACCCTGGGCTCTTCCCCCTTCTCTTCTCAGAGCCCCCTCTGGTGTTGTTGCTCCTTGATGCCTGATCTCATCAAACACTTGCCCTGGCTCAGCCCTTAAGGGCCCAGAGCTTGGCCAAATGTTCTGACGTCAGCACTGAAGAGAACCCAGAGCATCCAGCCCTCCTTCCCTTGGTCCAGAGAGGGGCAGTGGTTACTTCAAGGTCACACAGCCGGTGACTGGCAGGACTAGGATTGGAGCCCAGTGCTACTGTTAGTTAATGCCCCCCACCTGCCTCCTCCTGGCACTCACAGGCCTGTGGGGCACACAGGAGATCTGTGGGGCCTCCCAGCGACCATTCTCCTGGCAGCGAATCAGTGGCTGGTTGCGCTGGGCCAGCCCCTCCAGGCACCGGTAACGAAGCACCGTGTCCACCTCATAGCGCAGCCTCGGGCGGCCAAACAGTTGAGCCAGGGGCAGCTCTGGTGGGGACCCACAGGACACTGTAGGGCAGACACAGTCAGAAACTGAGAGCCTGGCTCTATGAGTGACAGTTCCCAGAATCAGGATGAGGAGGAGAGAAGTGGGCCACAGTTGGATACACAAAAGAGCAGGGGTTCTGAGTGGACCCATCGAATTTGTTATCCCTCCCGTGCTCATGGCCTGGGACCCATTTCTGATTGAGCAGTTTTGCACCTCCTTCTGTTTACACATCCGTCCAGCATCCCGAGCCCCCACCCCTCCTCTCCCTTGGCCTCCCTCACCCAGCCCCATCTTGCAGGTGTAGGACAGGTGGTAGTTGCAAGGCACGTCACTCCATTGTCCCTGATCATGCCACACCATGACGACACAGTTCTCTCCGGACAGGAAGTAGCTGTCGGGCTGCCCGGGGTTCCAGTTCTCATAGAGCTAGGGGGTGGGGGTGGAGGAGGTGGTGAGGAGCTCCAGTACTGGAGACAGAGGAATGGTGTGGAGGGCTTGGGAGGAGGGGTGGGAGGGTTAGGGGGATGGAGCGTAGGGGACTCCAGGGGAAAGGAGAGGTCAGGGGCTTTGGGAGGAAGGATAATGGCAACCAGAAGAGAAGTCAGAGAGGCACAAAGATGGGAAGAGGACCCAGGGAGAGAGTGGGCATGGGGAAGGGAAGGAGCCAGAGAAAGGAAAGGGAGGGTTGGGGTCACTGTGGGATGGGGGCGGAAATGCTTCGAAGAAGCAACCAAGTTAGCTTGAGAGGCAGCGGGAGCCTCTCACCAGGGGGACGCCATCTGACCACAGGAAATCGCCTTCGATCGTCCTGTCATTGAGCCCAATCCACTGGTACTCCCGGTATCGATCTGGGAAAGAACCGCAGGGGAGATGGTTGCAGTGAGCTCCGCCGCCAGCAGAGGGCGACCATTCCCCAGGATCGAGCGGTCGCTGGGTGGCCACGGAGAAGTCCTTCCCGCCACCCCAGCCCCGCGTTTCCCTCACTCCAACCTCGGTGCGTGGGCCTGGGCTAGAAAAGGGAAACTCTAGGCACAGAGTAAACATGTTCAATGAGGTCAGAGTCGGGGAGAGCAGGTGGAGGCAGGAGAGCAGGGAGGCGGGAGCTCTGAAGGGGGCGTCAGGCTGGTGCAGGTGTATTTCCTGCTCTAACCGCAGCGGCCCGGGTCTGAAGCCCCACCTCCCACGTGTGGAGTGGGACGGAGGCGGAGAAAGGAACAGTGAACTAGTAGAACGAGGCAGGCCAAGTAGTAAGTACCCGAATTAATGAATGAGGGGGTTAATTCATGAACATACTCATCCATTAGTTGATTGACGAGTGAGTGTGAGTGACAGCAGGTGACAGGGTCCCCCCCTCCCGTCCGCAGCCCACCGTTGATGAAGCGCTGCTCCTCGGGCGTGCTGATGCTGGCCAGGTGCGCGCCGTACATCCGACAGTGCGTCTCCGCCTCCTCCCAGCTCCTCCGTGTAGAGAAGTGCTTGTAGCAGGCGCCCTGGAAGGCGTCCCAGCCCGGGCTGCAGAAACGGAGGCCTGGGCGCAGAAGGGCGGGCTACTTAGGCGGGAGGACCCGGGAACTCCAAGGGGCCTGATCACCTGGAAGGGGTCCCACCACCGCAGCCTGAGAGGGCGGGGCTAAGGGCAGGAGGGCGGGGCCAAAGAGCTAGGAGGGGAGGAGGGGAAGAGAGGAGGAGGAGCCTGGAGGAGCCCTAGTGCTGGGGACTAGGGTGAGGGCTGGGAGTCCCGGCCTGGGTCTCTGCCATCCTCCATCCTAAAGCAGAGCTGTACGCTCGCCTCTTGCCAGGAGAATGGAAACTGGCATGTATTGACTCCAAATGCCAGGAGTCTGCTAAGCAGTCCTCTCACACAGAACCCCTGAGAGAGGCATTTTTGGTTCCACTTAACAGATGAGGAAATTGAGGGTAGGGCTCAGACAGGTTATGTGATTTGCCTAAAATGGGATTTATCAACGGCAAAGCCAAAACCAGTGCCCTCCCCTCATTCCTCTGGATCAGGCAGGGTCCAGGCTTCAGATCTACCCCCACCCCACACCAGTCCCTCCAACACACTCACCAACGTCGCACAGGTCCCCCCCATAGCCAGGCAAACACAGGCATCGGACCCCCTCCTCCTCCTCCAAGCATGTCCCACCATTGTGGCAAGGGCTGGGGACACAGTTACCTGAGAGGGGGAGAGAAGTGAGGTGGAGGGGGGGAGCAGGGGAGCACAGCTCTGCTGCCTGAGTCCATCTGGAGAGGGTTCAAGGGTCCCCAGCCCCAGCCCCCTTGTCCTGGGAGCTAAACAGCTCTCTCAAAGTTCCCCCTGGAACCTGCCTCTGGTTAGAGCCCAGCCTGAGTTCTGGATTTTTCTCGTCTCTGGGTCCCCTCGAGGTCCCCCACTTCAGCATTGGTTCAGCTCTGTGCTGGCCCTTGTCATGCCCGCCGGTGTGAGCCCAATCTAACAGGGGCTGGGAGAAAGTGGCCGCGAAGGCCCTTGGGACCCAACCCCGCAAAGGGGAAAGATGGTCATGAGGCTTGGACTCTTGTCTGGCTCCCAGCTCTGCCGGGTGACATTGGGCAGGTCATTTACCCCTTTGGGAGCTTAGTCCCCCACCCCCTTGTCTGTGTCAGGCCCAGAACAGCTCTGTACAGTGGAGGTGGGCTACTTGAAAGTGGAGGAGAGTCCCCACAGCCACTGGGATCTGATATGGGGGGAGGAGGGTTCAGATGGGAGGTAACCATTCCTCCTCTCTCCACTGGCACAGTGAATGAAGATCCAATACTCTCCCCTCACTTTAAGCCCTGCCCGCCCCCCTTCCTCCTTACCAGGCTTCCCTTTCACCCTCTAGTTCAGGCTTCCTGCAGATTCCTTAGCCTAGAAACCCTTCGGCTCCATCTTGCACCCTTCCTTTTGGCTCTCTCTTCTCCAGGTAGCCAGTCTCCTTAGACTAACACACTTCCCTGAAAGCATGCAATCCGCTGTCTGGATCCAGCTCCACCCGGCTAGGCCAGCTGCCTCCTCTTCTGTACTCTGGATGCTGGAGTAGGGGGTGACGGCTGCCTAACTTGGGCTGAGCCTGGGTGCTGGAGGGGCTGTCAGGTTCTACTCTTTCTGGTCCTGATGACCCAAGGGAAGATAACCCCACCGACTGACAGCACAGGTCAGGGCTCAGGCCTGGGCAGTAAAACCACCCTCCAGGCCAGCGGTCGCTAACCGGTGGTCCTTGGACCACTGGTGGTCCATGAGGTCCGAGGTCTGAAAGGTTGGCGACCGCTGCAGCCACGGCATCCACCCCTAGCAGCCAAGGCCAAGGCTCACATGCTTTACTCTGGCCCAAGATGCCTGGTGAGGATCAGAGCAGAGGTCGGGGGAGGAGAAGCTGGAGTTGACTCAAACATTTTTGCTGTGGTGATCTAGCTGTTTGGCGTAAAATGAATCAGCTGTTCCAGCACCGTTCTCCCTGTCATCGTCCCTCTTGCCAATAGTTTTACCTGCCCGCCAGGGTGAAGGGGGAAGGGAAGATGTTTTATTTAACCCTTTAAGCACCGGGGCCCACAGAGGGGAGGAGTCCTGAACTGCTCTCCGTTCCTCACATTTTCTTGCTCTTCCTGCTGTCTTCTCTCCAACCCTCCAACCCTCCAACCCTGGGGGATAGAAACTCTCAAGCTTGGTCCCTGATGCCCCCACCACAT